GAATGCCTCATTTCGTTGACATATTCCCACGGTACACAGAGACATCCCTTAACACCAATTCAAACTCGGGTCTTGAGATATTGTCTTAGGTGGGGAATTTGGAGTATTTGATGAGCGCCTTCGGTATTAAATGTGTTCTCCCTTATGGAGAATAGTTGAAACGATATGTTCATGAACCCTTTCGGCAAGGTTTCAATTGCCAAATTTCCATATCTGTCTCTTGCACTTAGGAACAACTGTTCAGGATAGCCAATATCAGTTACGTATCAATTCGTTGGGATACAGCTGGCCGCTTTTGTTCCGGCAAAAGGGACGTATTCATATGCACAAGACTCAGATATCCATACATATCCGCCAACGTCCACCCCAACTCCACTATCAACGGATGGGCTATTTCGCGTCGTGCGAGTTCGTGTGAGGGATTTTTTCCACATGGAGTTGTGTGGCGCTTTGCAGGTTCGCTGTAGGACACACATAACACTGATATATTGTATTAAAAACCGAAATGAATGGAAGTTGAACGTAGAGTTCTCATACATGTCAGTCTTTCTACATGATTTCCTGAACTTGCACTTATGAAAATCCATCACTCATTCAATTGGCATTTCCGCAACCAAGGTGATTGGGAGTCAAACCCTGTGGGAGTTCCACACTTTTTAATACCTCAAATTGGAATATTCATGTTCCATTTACCTAAACGAAGAAACGAAAATCAGATAATCTCCAGTTCAGTAACAATATTGCTGGACAAACTTCAGGTGCTGCCCCTTTCACAATTGTAGGAAATCGGAACCCTATGAGTAATAAATATGCACGAGATGCTTGAGAAATATGGAAGACTTTCTCTCACCTCAGTAGAGAATTCCGGGCGATACTTCTGCCTGCATCATACCCTGAACGGCTCCTGTGTCTCCAGGCAACAGTTAGCTGAAGGCCTTGAGTTTCCCACGGGAAATCATGAATGGGTTCGAAAGGTATAATGTGGCCGCTTGTTGTGAACGTAACTTCGATTGCTTGGGAGGCCTCTTTTGAGTGGATCTGAGCGACCAGTTTGACGTTAGACTTTAACATGGCTTCAGCCTTACAAAGAACCATGACGCGTGCCTCAACACAGAGCATGCATGCAGTGCGTAAAGGGACTCCAATTCAATCTCGCACAGGGGAAAAACATCAGGGGCGACTAGCCAGATTCCTGGCGCCATACTTTGCCATACTCAGGAGTAAGGGAGTTCAGCTGGTTAAGGCAGCCCGAAGGCTTGACGTGGGGGCGGATGTGGTTGCAGAGCTATGCAGCAATTGGTTTTTGGACGGATGTGTTTTATTCCAAGAGCATCTTTCTTGTCTAATATTCATCGCCTCATAGGGGTTAATTTGGCCTTGATCCTGACTTCCTCAATATTGATAATATATGAACATGATTTGGATTTTTTCACATTTTCGGCCTGCTTAATGGTCCCTCAGTAATTAAGTGGTGACTCTTAGGCATGGCAACACTTATACTTCATTCTAAGGTAGAGAATATAATTCCGCGATTTCATGGAGACTTCTCCAAGACGGGGTCTACTACCTAATAAAACTTGACTCTACTTAACACTTATTTTTATTCAGTCTGAACCTAATAAACTAATTGCTTTCAGCACATTGAGATCCTCCTATGTGTCAAAACGATGGCCACGCAGCTGATTTTTTAAATTATGGCAAATGTCGTCCTCGCAAGGACTCATGTCAGGAGAGTACACAGGATGAGGTAACACCTCCAAGTGATAGTGGTGCAGGGGCTCCTGAACAATTCCACTGATAAGAGGGCTTCCATTGTCATGCAACAACACGGTTCAGCTTTTCCTGAGTGCTGGCCGAAGATGCCGTGCGAGGCCAACGGAGATTACATGGGAGGACAGTGAATACCTTTTTATTGGCAATCTCATTTCCGACAGCTTCCATTGTCATGCAACAACACGGTTCAGCTTTTCCTGAGTGCTGGCCGAAGATGCCGTGCGAGGCCAACGGAGATTACATGGGAGGACAGTGAATACCTTTTTATTGGCAATCTCATTTCCGACATTTTCCGGGGGCGGGGGAGGAGGTTGTTGGCAGGAATTCATGAAATGCCCCTCGTATATGGGTCTGTGCCATATTAAGATGGTACTGTTTACGTACCAGATGCGAATTCGAACAAGTAGATTTCTTCCACGTTTCAATAGCCCGGGCCTACTAACCTGGACGTCTTAGGTGCTGGGCATTTTGGGTCTTAAGCCAAAATTCAACAGAATGCAACTGAGTTTCATGACTTACCGAATCCATCAGTGATAAAAATTATTTCATAGACTGAGACTATAACATCCTGCCATATTAAGCAATGACATCCGTGTCTGCTTCATTTAATAATAGCAACCGTACTAGCTATTCATATTTGGGCACGGTCCAGCCAAGACTGGACTGGCGATATCATGCAAGCAGGATTCGGCGTGGCCACCGCTAGAAGTTGAGACAAGTTTCACCGCTGGCGCACTTGCGCGAAAGCAAGACCACCTGTTTGTCTTTAGCGATACTCGGTCTGGAGTGCTTTAGCCCCACGAGGTTTAACTTTGCTTCCAAGATGGCCAGAGCTGCTGGGGTCCCTTTTAAAATAAGCTGACTGGCATTGTCCTGATGCAATAACCACTTGCCTGACAGGAGGCAGCAGTTACTTAATGGGAACTGTCACGAATATTTCAGTGCAACCCTTCCCCACTTTTAAATATTTTTCTTTTCCGTGTATCATTTCATTGCATAGGAATTCCGAAATTAGGTGATTACGAATCCTTTGTCTGGAACCACAAAGCAATCCCTTACTCACAAACTCTGAGCATTCTATTCTATTCCTTTTCGCCATCCAGCTCGCGATGCCCCGAATCATTCCGCTTATGTGCCGCGGGCAAAACGGGACATTCTGAGCTAAACTTCACTTCGATAAGATTTTCCTTATTTTCTTATTTTTTGTTTAGTCTCCCTTCTGCTTGCGAATGTTTTGTATAGGTACTTCTGCAGGCAAGGTATCACGGAAGGGGTGCGCTTCTGGACCAGAGTTGAGATTAAAGGCGACATCGTTCGGGAGAAGTTTTCAAGTCTTCAAGCGCTCTTCATCACTGGTACAGAGGATAAAGCATAAGACGATAGTACGACGACTAAGGAAAGATACCAGGTCCACCCAGGAAAACCACGGTAATAAAACATGAAAGTGAGACAGTAATATATTTTACTTCATCTATGAACACTGCCCTATAACTCATCCACTGGGCCGCGGTGGAGAATAACGAGTCTCTCGCTACCAAGTTTCGAGAAGTTGCGCGTCCACCTTCTGGGAAGATACCAACTGGGTTTCTTTCGGTCGGTTTTCCAATCGATACTATATATTGGAATTCCTGCTCACGTGTCTAGACGAAATGTGTTTTAGAATTCCTAGATCCGAAGAACTAGCAAACTTGATATTGCGGTTCGACGCTCTGTATTTCGTTCACGACACGTAACACGGGCAAAAAAAAAACAAGAGAATCTCGTTTCAGCAGTCATGATTGGAGGCCCGATGACTTCATTCTTGTCACTACCAATAGAACCTGACCATAGGTATCAGAAGATAAATGCGCGAATAAACAATAGGCTTTGTACAATTGGATATCTCTGATTCCGCCCTAAATTTTCTCGATACTGAGAAACTGCGGAAGTTCCAGAGACGCTGCTCGCGATGTTCTTCTTGCATCGCGCATTGCTAGACAACCAGACCTGGATGGGCTTGAACTTCTGCACTCGTTCCGATAGGGCCCTCTTAACCTGCTACGTGGCGTGTGCATAAATTGTCCGAGTACCAACACTGGTGTTTTAGGGACGCATTCAGAAGTTCGCGAGAAGTAGTGACCATGTCTCCTATTTCGTATTCTGCTATCATGCTGCTGATTCCTTTCTATGGTCCAGGTGGGTCCTTTTGGTGCCATTATTTTGTACTTTCACTCTGTCATTCATATTTTACTTCATCTATGAACAATGCCCTATAACTCATCCACTGGGCCGCGGTGGAGAATAACGAGTCTCTCGCTACCAATTTTCGAGAAGTTGCGCGTCCACCTTCTGGGAAGATACCAACTGGGTTTCTTTCGGTCGGTTTTCCAATCGATACTATATATTGGAATTCCTGCTCACGTGTCTAGACCAAATGTGTTTTAGAATTCCTAGATCCGAAGAACTAGCAAACTTGATATTGCGGTTCGACGCTCTGTATTTCGTTCACGACACGTAACACGGGCAAAAAAACAAACAAGAGAATCTCGTTTCAGCAGTCATGATTGGAGGCCCGATGACTTCATTCTTGTCACTACCAATAGAACCTGACCATAGGTGAGTATCAGAAGATAAATGCTCGAATAAACAATAGGCTTTGAACAATTAGATATCTCTGATTCGGCCCTAAATTTTCTCGATACTGAGGAACTGCGGAAGTTCCAGAGACGCTGCTCGCGATGTTCTTCTTGCATCTCGCATTGCTAGACAACCAGACCTGGATGGGCTTGAACTTCTGCACTCGTTCCGATAGGGCCCTCTTAACCTGCTACGTGGCGTGTGCATAAATTGTCCGAGTACCAACACTGGTGTTTTAGGGACGCAAAAGTTTTATTTTGTCTCCTATTGATATTGTCCTAACGGACTCAGAAACTCATTTCCAGACTGGGTATAAATGGCAACATCATCGTCAAAGAGAAGTTTTCTTAATTCTATACATTCTATTTCTACATCGATACCCATTCTGCGTCCTCGTACATATAATTTGCTCATTCGCACATATAAATGAAATAACCTAACTGTTGCTCGACAAGTACCGAGACAGACTCCCCCTCCCATATCCCCCATGCGAACGCAACTTCAGTGGTCACTGCAAAGGACTGAGACTAAACACTCTGCAATATCTGAAAGTCGAAGTCAATTCCCCCAGATTTGTTCGAATAGCATGATCTTACGCCTTTTCAAGGCCGACGAAATAGACATCCACCTCTTTGTCATATTTCGAAACGTGAAGTTGTTGCTTTCCTACATACAGAGGCAGCTTCGGGGACGGACTTGAACACTCCATACATACTGGGAAGTGCAGAAGTAGCAACTGGATCTCTGCTGACGCTTCAGTGTCTAGTGTCTTCGCCAGAGAGCGGAAACCTGAGTTTGCAATGGATATACCCGGGACCAAAGGATGTGAGAACGTTAAACCCCACTCCCTTCATTTTTCATCCTGAATATGCAGATAACGTGTTTCCCTTGTGAATATTGCTACAGAAGGTAAGAATTACCCAAAGGACCTTCAGCAGCGGTCTCCACTTGAACCAACTGACTGTTAGGGAAACGACATCCAAGGACAATGGAACCTATTTCTGCATAGCCACAGCCGATAACATTATAAAGGCAGCTTGTCATCATGTCATCGTTCGAGGTGAGCATCTCCTACATATGGGCGAAGTAAAATTTCGAGCTCGGGAAACATTCTAAATGGGTTTTCAGGTGGACATGTGAGGGTGACGCCACGAGAGACGAGAGTGCGTGCTTACTTGGGAGAGAAGACCGTGAGCTGGAAGGTGAAAGTGGATGCTGAACCCGAGCCGAAGATAATTTTGAAGCGCGATGAAATGGAATTGCCTCAAGGCATGAAATTTGAAGTTGAGAAGAACTTGGCGAAAAAATGTGTTATTATCCGCATAAATGACATCACGCGTGAAGATCTCGGGAACTACACTCTCGTTGCCCAGGTTGGCGGGAAGAAAGGGGAGGCCCATTTCCAGTTGGGACTAAAAAGTGAGTTTTAAAAAATGCCTATGGGACTTTCAGTTCTCGGCACCTGTTGTTGTCCTGTTTTGTCCCCTTCCCCCTCCACAATGAAAAAACAATCATGCTTGAGTCTATATTTTCTAAAATTAATTTTTGTAATGAAACATTATTTTATTTCCTGCATTATCATCAAGACCACCAAATTGAGACACTTTCAGAGATGACGAAGCAACATGAGGCAGTTTCATTCACACTAATGGCAATGGCATGACATTCTTTTCTCTTTAGGACCCTGAAGACCTTTTGAAGAAGAATTTGCCACATGGTGACGACAGACACAAGAACCCAACAGGAGTTCATCACAAACCTGTTGTTCGTGGCAGCTGGAACAATGGACACATTTTTATTGACACTACAACTTTGTGTTGAATGTGATCGGCAATGACAGTTTCTCATTTGCATATACCGTAGTTGTGAACCATATTTTTCAGTTTCCCTGGAAATAATTCTCAATATTTACCTCGTCCAATTTCGATCGTCTATTCTTCCGTATTTGCTCCTTATACAGTCCTTCTTGGTCTTTTGCCACCTCCACTGAACGGATATCATTGCATTTTCCAGAAAATATATGCAATATACGGGCTTTGACACGAGGCTATTATTTTCTAGCAGAAGTTATTGAATGGACACTCCGGGTTTCAGGGCATGAATAGAATCATGAAAATTCGATCAATTTTTATTCCCAAGGACTACTGGTTCTTGGGCATTTCTTATATTCTTGGTAATGAGAGTAGGTGTACACATTTGGAACCTCATGTAATGATTTCCAACGCAGTCATATCTATCATCAAACCCATAGTCAGATTGCTATGCTAGACGTTCTCACTTCTAGTTTTCATTATATGGACGCCTTAAGATTCACAAATATTGCATCACTTATTGCTCCTTCATATTCCTGAGTGATATTACTTTCACAATTTGAAAATTACATTCATTTGCTTGGCCTAAAGCAAGATTTAGACTCAAGTCCATTCCAGAAGGCAAATGGTTTGTAGGACATCCATTTCCTTTTATTCCCGATGTCCATTTTCACTCAAACCAAGAATCCATACTTCCTTCTTGTTGCTACCATGGTATGACCATTACTTCATATAACCGTAATTAACATGCCGCAATGAAAAAGCCTAATAACCCCAGGAGCTTCATCACATTTTTAGGCGTGAGAATCGAAAACAGATGCTTCAAATGCAAAAAAGTTATGTTCTTAGAACATAGAGAACCGAAGGCGCTTCCATAACGAACTGTTTGCCTGAAGGGCAAGCTTGCTAGTTCAGGGGTGGAAAAAGTTCTGCAACCTGGTAACCAGGTTACCGGAAAGGGTAGCGACCAATCGGTAGGGCAAGGCGAGGATTTAAGAAATAACTGAGAGAATGAAAGCGAGGGGGGAAAAATAAAATAATACTAAAAGAAAGAGAGGGAAGACGAAAGATAATCGGGGTGTTGGGGATGAGAGATGGTAATGAATTGAGAAAAGGTAAATGATGACTGCGAGAAGATAGCAGAACCGGGAAGACATGTCCAAGCGACTGAAGTCGGTAAGTTCAGGGACAAGTGTGGTGATTTTTTCTCTATAAGCAAAAATAGATGGGCATTGCTCATTCCCTCGATTCTGTGGCTGTAGGTTCTCGCCCCAACGAGAAAGATGGGTAGACGTAAGACACCTCTAAAATTTGCCTGATCGTAACGAAGAGGCGGCCTTAGAAAAGGCGGGAGATACTCATCACGAATTAGAATTAGATGGCGTCTTGCACCTCAGAAACCTCTTCCTTTGCTCTTTTATCGATCAGGTTGCAGCTTACATGGCTTTCCGCCGACAGATTAATTGATCCTTCGCGAATCATTTCAAGTGACGTTATTTCATCCCAAAGTTGAGAGAATACATTGATATCCACACCCCATCGGAGAGCCGTCCAATCCGTAGCGTTCGCATTTGCTACATATCGGATTTTCCTGACTCAGATGAACGTCTCTCTCCCTTAACACGACTATTGCGACTATTAATGTCTAATCCAAGGAAAACAACGCGAGATGAAAGGGAGTTTCTGTCGCGTCCATCAATGATCTCTCTGGGTGATCTCATTTTCCTCTAGCTCTTTCGTACTCTTCAAGTGTTAGTCCATAGCGTTGTAATGCAGTGGTCGGCAACTGAATTCCTCTGGAGGGTGGAGAGATGGTTAAATGGTTGAACGGCGAACATCCTTCAAGCGTAATAAAAAGGAAAATTTTATTGGACGTCTGAAGTCAAATATACAGTTAAGTAATTGCTCTCAAACCGTAATATGCAATATAAAAACATCAGTAGCAACAATCAAATCAATCAAAATTAATCATCGCAATACTCACGGTATTAGGGAAACAGAGCAACACCCATCCGAGTCAGAAAAATTCTATGCGTAGCAAAAGCGAACGTCTAGTTCCAATCTCATCCAGCACTTCACGTACGTGGTTCCTGTGCCAGACCTGGTGCGTAGCACTCTATGCATCTTATGGGGCAGTTCTAGTGTATTGTCGACTCGTATGCATCTCGTCACTGGAGAAAATCTGTTGGTTATTCGCGACGAGGTGCCCTAATTGAACCTTCGACCCAAATCAGCAAGCATAGCACGCTGAAGCTATGTACCGTTTCAGAGGTTGTTCGCCGACTGAATTGACAAAATTCAAATATGAATTCAATGAAATAAATATTCCAGGACAGAAACGAAAATATTAATCGAAGTGCTTCACCGCAGAAAAACTTTAAAGACCCTCTCGAATAACATTTCAATCTTCAAAAATGCTAAGAAATCCTCAGATGAATATGCCCCTCTATTGGTTCAATCCCAACTAGAGCAGAAAAGTTCCTGGCCTTTTTTTGTAGGAAGAACGGTTGCACCTAAAATCGTAATCTTGCTATTTTACGAAGATGGCAAGCCTGCATAACATATTCAATACTTCGATTTCACAGGTTGGCAAACCTTGCCAGAGCGGAAGTTAACAAAGTTGGCCGAGGGCCCTGCGAGAGAGCAGCGGATTGTAATAATTGCTTGTGGCTGAGGGTGAGAAGGCCCCATCCATGGCCAACCGGCCGCAAAATGCTTTTCAAGGACCATTTTGATCGATAGACTGAAACGCGGGAATCATCCACGACTCGTGCGCGTCCAGCTTTAGATTTTTCTACCCACTTGAAAATCCCTCGTTTCTTGAAGCATTGATCTCCATGAACATTTCGCCGCCATTGATGCATGGATGCGCCTTCTCACCCTCATCCACAATGAAATTTTTTACAATCTGGCTGCTTTCTCCACCATGATTGTTTACCTTCAATCTGGTATGGTTTGCCAATATGAGAGATTTATGGAATGGTATGTATGTTTTCCATTATCATAACATAGCATGGTTATAGGTGCAAGCGTTATAAGTATAAAAAATAAAGTCCACGAACTTTTTTCTGACCCCCGCCCCTCGTATGAGCGTTTTCATGCCTAGTTATGGCTTAAAATGGATCTTTTGCCAACCCCCCTTGCCCCCAACTCCCATTTTGCGCTTGCTCCGTCCTGGGAACCGTAGGGTCACTTCACACACCTTTTAAACTGGGAAGGTAGACCATTGTTTCCACGAAGCAGAATAACTTTTTCCACACTGCACTAGTTAATATATACAATTGCATCTGGTAGCTCAGACCCAAATATCTGGCTCAAAGCAAGATGTTTCTGATTTGAAAAATGGACACCTTGTTGTCCAGCTTTAAAACCTCAACATTGGAATTTCTCATTCCATTGGGTTAATGATACTTTGATCTTGATTTATATACTATATAACACGTTTAGATAATAACGTTATCATGTGTGCAAAGACGCACTTAATCTGTAAATGAACTTGTTTTTCTGAAGAGAATTATTAACATTAACCATGTTCCGGCACTTTCTTTCATTTCTACATTTCGTCCCTTTAGAGGTTCCAATTTAACATTTGAGAGGTGAGTTGCTAGTCAAAGCTCCCCAAATGGTATTGAAAATGGCGACGCCATTATTTTGCTCAAAAAGTACATTCAATGCGAAAAATAATTTAGAACACCACATTCACGTAGATATACAGGGCCTAACAGCACAAATGAAAGAATGATTTGCAATATATCTCATCACACGAGCAGCAATTTCTCAGACCTGTTACATGTGAATAGGAAACAAGACTCACCATTCGTGGGAAAAATAAGGTCCTCACAATAATTTCCTTTGTTTTACCAGGAACCTGAACTTGAAATGCGAATATGTTCGTGAAAGAAATTATATTCAAGAACTTAATAAATAACAAGTGTAGAAGTCATTAGAAAAACATTCATGATTTATTCATGCCCAACTAGAAGAGGTATTGCCTAAAATTTATGTGACAAAGTCTTACTGCGGAGAAACGTCAAAGGAAAAAAAAACTCGAATTAAAGAAAGTAAATACCGGAAAATGTACAGTAGAACAATAATAATATTCGAACACTTTCAATGATTAAAAAAACAGATGGGAACATAAAACGACTCATGCCAGACAATGCAAGAGAGAGATTCCTTCAATAGGACCAATTAAAAGAGTGAAAAATTCATGGGAAAAGGTATGCAAAAACATAATGCAGGGAATATACATTAGAAAGATAGAAATAGAGAAACAGAAAGAGGCAGATCGTCACCTTCGAAGACTTCCTCCAGAGCAGAATGAAAGGCCATTTACAAAGAAAAAAGCTGAACAATGAACGGCAGCAAGCAACTTTTCTAAGGAAACCTCTCAACGAATTGGAATCAGTGCGGCTAATCATCACACATTTCATTTTTATTTTTAAACATTTATTCCCTAAATTATTAATGTACAAAGCATAACCTTCTCCTTACATAGAAAGAATGAGCAAATCATCACTTGACATAATGTTTCCAATATTCAATCCAGTATTTCAAGCATTCCATCATGAGGAAACGTAATTGGAAAATCCCTCATGATTTCTCTCGTCAATCTCGTTATTCAATCTCGTCCTTGTTTGCCGCGTCCACATATCAGATCGATGAAGTCCTGCAGTCTTCCATACTATTGCCACATGCTTATATGAAGGTAAAAGGATGGTTCAAAAGAAAATTTTGTCGTTTCAGCCATTGTCGATTGTCACTTGAAACATGATGCAGCAATCTGGAGTATGCCAAGCCATCAGTCCTCATTCTCCTGCATTATTGACGTCATCCAAGGGACAAATCTAATGGAATTCCAAAATCAGAGCTGAAATAGGGTGTATATTTCAACTCATAGCATGTACATGGCATAGAACCAAGAAATTCATCATTGCATGAGACCATATTTGGAGCGCTTGGTATCATGACTGTATTTAAAGGGAAACCCACAAAAGTAATGAGGTGTTTGCTTATTCTTAACA